AGAGAGAGAGAGAGAGAGAGAGAGAGAGAGAGAGAGAGAGAGAGAGAGAGAGTCGGCTGTCCGTAAACGGCTGCATTGTAGCGTTATCGGTTTGCAATTAGCAAAATTAATTGCGGTAGTAACCTATAACGTGCTTCCCACTCATGCAGACCCCTATATGACGCGCGCGCCAGCAGCAGCAGCAGCAGCAGCAGGCAGCAGGCAGCAGGCAGCAGGCAGCAGGCAGCAGGCAGCAGGCAGCGTGGAATGCTATACCGCTCCGTACATCACGCACATGCACGCGCACGCACACGCACGCACGCACACACACACACACACACGCACGCACGCACAAACACACACGCGCACACGGACGCACGCACACATGCATGAGTCCACTGTCAGAATAATCGCAAAGTTATGATAAAACTGTCGATTGTGATAATAATCATTAATCCGTGAATAACAAATTTTCTCATACAATGGTTTAATTAGGACAAGATGTTGGAATTAGGACTAATTTTAGTACCAATTATTTTCCAACTCTCTCTCTTTTTCTCTCCTTCTCTTTCTCTCTCCTCTTCTCTATCTCCTTCTCTCTTTCTCTCCTTCTCTTTCTCTCTCTCTCTTTCTATCTCTGTCACTCTATCTCTGTCACTCTATCTCTCTCGCTCTCTCTTCCCCTGCCTCTCTCTCGCGCGCGCGTGTTCACGTTCGTATACCTTAGAGTGATCATCGAAAGCACATCAAAATCGCTAACAGCGTCATCTCTTACGGGGGGAGGTTTTTTTTAATAAACTCCCCTCCCCCTCACCGTCGCCACCACCACCACCAGCACCACCAGCACCAGCACCACCAGCACCACTCCGATGCCGAACAAGTGAAGTAAGTGACTGACCTGTGGGCCACGTTCTCTCAGGAACGTCGGATAACCAATTTTGTGAGCATGATTAAGTGGAAAGCAGCGGGTTATTAAATGGCTTCCCGGTATGCCCAGGCGGGTTTCTTCCCTCCCTGCCTCCCTGCCTCGCTCCCTCCCTCTCTGCCTGCCACCCTCCCTCCCTCCCTGCCTGTCTGCCTGCCTGCCTGCCTGCCTGCCTGTCTGCCTGCCTGCCTG